TTTTTCTCTGTGTTGGTGTTGTGTACTCAGGTCAATAATATGTTTGCCATGTTACTCTGAGTGCATATCCACACCGGGTGAGCTTGAAAATATGCCCGGCCACGGTGGGATTCGAACCTACGACCTTTGGAATACCAGCCCAATGCTCTTCCAACTGAGCTACGCGGTCAGGACGGTTCGAGTAAGTGATATTTCGGAACAGTATCTAGTTCCTTCAATACCAATGTGTTCTTGTAATAAGAATTTTTTCTGTGCTGGTGTTGTGTACTCAGGTGAATAATATGTTTGTGATGTTACTCTGAGTGCATATCCACACCGGGCGAGCTTGAAAAATATGCCCGGCCACGGTGGGATTCGAACCTACGACCTTTGGAATACTAGCCCAATGCTCTTCCAACTGAGCTACGCGGTCAGGACGGTTCGAGTAAGTGATATTTCAGAACAGTATCTAGTTCCTTCAATACCAATGTGTTCTTGTAATATGAATTTTTTTTCTGTGCTGGTGTTGTGTACTCAGGTGAATAATATGTTTGTGATGTCACTCTGAGTGCATATCCACACCGGGCGAGCTTGAAAAATATGCCCGGCCACGGTGGGATTCGAACCTACGACCTTTGGAATACTAGCCCAATGCTCTTCCAACTGAGCTACGCGGTCAGGACGGTTCGAGTAAGTGATATTTCGGAACAGTATCTAGTTCCTTCAGCACAGAAAAAATTCATACCAGCACAGAAAAAATTCATATTACAAGAACACATTGGTATTGAAGGAACTAGATACTGTTCCGAAATATCACTTACTCGAACCGTCCTGACCGCGTAGCTCAGTTGGAAGAGCATTGGGCTAGTATTTCCAAAGGTCGTAGGTTCGAATCCCACCGTGGCCGGGCATATTTTTCAAGCTCGCCCGGTGTGGATATGCACTCAGAGTAACATCACAAACATATTATTCACCTGAGTACACAACACCAGCACAGAAAAAATTCATATTACAAGAACCCATTGGTATTGAAGGAACTAGATACTGTTCCGAAATATCACTTACTCGAACCGTCCTGACCGCGTAGCTCAGTTGGAAGAGCGTTGGGCTGGTATTCCAAAGGTCGTAGGTTCGAATCCCACCGTGGCCGGGCATATTTTTCAAGCTCGCCCGGTGTGGATATGCACTCA